AATTAATCAGGGGAGAAAAGCATTAAGATCAATAATAAATTTTAATTGAATAAAGAAAATCAAATATAATATCATAAATTGGAGTTGAATTTAAGCTACATCATATCCCTAGTAAAGAGATTTAGGTCGACATAGTGAAAAAATCAAACTCAATTAAATTTGTAAATAATCCCATAAAGAATAATAAACAGAAGAGAGTTTAAAAATAAAAACTAGTTAACGATTGGTTTGAATGGCTTCCTTGAATCTTGACACCACCTTGAGTACTTGAAGTCTTAAAGAGAGAGAAAACCATCTAGAGAATAAGAGAATCAGATATCAAAAGATGATAATAACCTAGCTAATCTCTCTCTTTTTATAGACTCCTTGGGAAATCTCCAAACTTGATTAGGAAATAGAATCTCTAATGAGGAAGAAATCGATTTGATGATTAGGAAATAGAATCTCTAATGAGGAAGAAATCGATTTGATGTAGGAAACTGTTTAGGCTTTGTATTTCTTCCAATTTAGGATTCTTCTAGCGGCTTGATAGGATTTAAACTTGATTGGCACGTCAAAAAAGCATCTCATGCGGGTCCGTGCAAGCGGCATAGGCTAGAGTTGTCTTTCGGCCCAATATGAAGTCAAGCATTCAACACGAGCGTGCTAAATAGCACTGTCTGGATATACTAGGCTCTGAGTCTCCAGGGTGGATGCAGTATGGGCCGTGCTCAAGTGAGCACGCCCTTGGATCGACATTCTCTTCAGGCACGGGTGTGCCAGATAGCACGGCTAGGGCGTGCTAAGCTCTGAGTCTCCATGATAATTTCCCTTAAATTCAGCACGAGGGTGCTAGATTGCACGCCTGGGGCGTGCCAGCCTATGAGAGTTTTGCTTAACTTCACTCTTTTCTATATTTTTAGCTGGTTTCCTATCAAAAGCCTACAAAATTCCTTAAGATCAAGTGAAATATGATTCAAAGAAGCTTTAAACGAAAACATAAATAAAACTGAATAAAAATTAATTAAAGTAATTAAAAATACTAAAATTCCTCGTAAAAACTATATTTAAAATACAATAAAAATAACACTTATCAATTTTTATTTTCTTGTAATCTTTCTTTAGAACTTTATATTTTTTAGGAAGTTTTTCAAACTCAGTACAAAGATTATTATAAGTATCAAGAAGATCACTTTTCAGATTCAAGTTCAGAGATACTTACATTGCTTTCATCTTGCTTGTGGCCTGCTGTTTCTGTTTTGCTATTTTCAGCTTTATGTGATGAAGTCAGAGTGCTAATTTCCTTGGAGTCAGAATTGGTAATGGCCATCAGACAATATTTTCAACTTCCTCCTTACCATTCTGGCTTTCAGAATTAGAATCATCTGAATCACTCTAAGCAGCTACAAATGCTTGTTTTAACTTTTCTTTCTTTAACTTTTTTTTTTTCAGCTTAGACTGTTTGGCTTGATATAACCAGGTTTTTTATACTCATAACAAACGACTTCATAAGATTCTTTCTACGGCAAGTTACTATTTTTAGGTGAAAAGTTATTTTTATTGAATTTTTCTATGGCTTTCCACCTTTCTTATAGAACTTTTTGAATTTTCTAGCAATAAGAGCTAGATCATCACTATCAAGATCAGAAAAACTATCTTTACTAGAAACAACTTTCAAAGATAGTCCTTTCTTCTTCTTATCTTCTATAGTCAAAGAAAACTTCATCTCTTCTAAAACAAGAGCTCCAATAAAATAATCATAGCTAGGTTATTGGAGTCTCTTTATAGTTCATGATAGTTCCAATAGAATCCCACTTTTTTGGGCAAAATTCTAAGGATTTCTTAACAATGTCATATTTTGAAATTTTCCTTTCCGAGAGTTCTCAAAGGATTGACTATTTGTGAATCTGGAATTTAGTTTCAGCTAGAGTCTCTTCTTTCATACTAAACATTTTATATTCTCTCCAAAGGATATTAATTCTAGATTCCTTAACTCAGTTTGTTCCTTCATAGGTAACTTTAAGTTTTTTTCACACTTTTGTTGCTGACTTACATCCAGAAACTTTGTTATACTCTGTTGGATCTAATGCACAGTGAAGAATATTAATGGCTCTTGCATGTATAGAAATATCGTTCCAATCAGTATCATTGTATTCTTCTTCTATTTTTGGAACACTTCTGGTTTCAACAGTTTTTATATGGATGCGAGGACTAGAAATAATGTTCCTCCAGCAATTTATATCAACTGATTTAATAAAATTTTCTATTCTGGTTTTCCAGTAAGAGTAATTAGAACCATTAAACAGAGGTGGTCTAGAAATATATTGACCTTCTAAGGATATAAAAGGTAATGGGGCTGCCATGGGATCTTTTTTCTTAAGCTGTTAAGTTTTGGCAAGTAAAAAGACATGCTCTGATACTAGATTGTGAGTCCCGTTATGTAAGTTTAGAATTCTAAACCAGTGGAATTAGAAAGCCTTTGTGAAAGATAGTTATCAAGTTTAGAACTTTCTCACAAAGCTTATGAAAGATTAGAAAACTGATTATAACTCACATTCTAATTTCTGTTAAATATAAAAGGATAGGTTAGAACTTGAAGAAATCACAGTATAGAAATCCAGAGTTATAATGATCCACAAAGATAAAGCTTATTGCACGATTAGAAACTGAAAATCATAAACAACTTTGCATTTCTAAAAATATTAACAAATGTGTAATAAAAATATAATCAAACAACACTTCAGAAAAAAAAAAAAGAAGAAGAATAACACTGAGATTTATAGTGGTTCTGCACTATCTCGCCTACATCCACTCCTCAAGACTCATATTGAGATCCTCCACTATGTTATCTCTTTTAAAGGGTAAGAGACAAACCAACAATTACAAGGAAATAGATCAAAACCTAGATCTAATCTTTAACCCACTAGATTTCATATGTTCTAGTCAACCTCTACTCTTCTATTTTGCAAAGAACAGAAAACTCAAATCAAGACATTAAAATCTTATACAAGAAGAAGGTCGCTTGATAACCTTTTATAATATAGCTTCCCACATAAGCTATTAAAAAAAATATTTTTCATTTAAAACTTCTAGTCTACAACAGATTACAACAATTTATATAGACAAAGAGAAATACAACTATAAGTGCATGAAGAATAGAAAACAGATTTTAAAAACAGAAGGTAAGTTCAGAATTGTTCTTCAAAAGAGTTGTTTAACAATTTTTTTTCCCTTAAAAATATCTCTTGAAGAATGGAGAAGAAAAGAAATGAAGAGGGTTGAAGAGAGAGCTTTGAGAGATTTGAATCTTTTGAACAATGATCTCTTACTCTTGACAACCATTGCTTTTGAAAGAGGAAAAGGTTTTTATACAAAAGGGATGATGATCCTGTTATAAATGACGTTGGAGTTTACTCCATAAAGTATTGAATATTTTCTAACATGTGAGTTTAAAGAGACATTGCATAGGCTGTATTTAAATGGCTATTAGAGCACTTATTGCATATACACATGCAAAGCTTTGAAGATGGAGAAGTTATTTTAGAAAGCTGTGTTACTTTAAAATAGAAACAGACAGCTATGTCAGAAATAGAACAGTTTTTGCAAAAACTCATTTAATAACCACCAACAAGTTTTATTTCAAAAATCTTTTTCATTTGGGTAAACGTGAAAAGCAATAATTTGGGCTATATCCTCTTAATATTTTTATCAAAAATATTTCAAAATGATTTTAAAAGAGATAAAATAAATTTTTGTGCTTATAATATAATTTTCTCTCTATTTTGCGCCAAAAAACTCATTTAATCACACACCAACAATTTTATTTCAATTCAAAAAACTCTTTTTCATTCTGGGTAACCGTGAAAAGCCAATAATTTGCGGCCCCTACCTCATCCTCAATATCTTTTTAATCAAAATATTTTTTTCAAAATTGATTTTTCTTAAAAGAGATAAAAATACAAATTTTTGTGCCTTATTATACATATAATTCTCTCTATCCTACAATAATTTCTAAACCTTAATAATAAAAATGCTTCAACCACTAAAAGTGGGTTTTTTTTGTTATATTCTTCCATGGTCTTCAAATAAAAAAAAATCTTGAATGTACGCAAGCCTTGAATATTTTTATCAAAAATATTTCAAAATGATTTTAAAAGAGATAAAATAAATTTTTGTGCTTATAATATAATTTTCTCTCTATCCTACAATAATTTCTAAGACTTAATAAAATGCTAACCACTAAAAGTGTTTTTGTTAATTTTCATGGTCTTCAAATAAAAAATCTTGAATTGTAGAAGCTTGACTTCTTCAATAATTTTCAACAATAATAAATTATGCATAAAATATCTTTAGCATATATAAAAATATTAAATTTATTTGATTTGCATAATTATCAAAATTTTAGGATAAAATTAACCTTACCCAATAATCTCTCTCTTTTCTATGATGACAAAACCAATAAATTTATCACATAAAGATAACAAGTGCTCTCCTAAGTTTATGCATATTAACAAAATACAAGCTCTAAATCCAAAAGATTTGCTATGAAGTAAGATTAGAATTTATTGAAACAGATTTATAAGGAAGCAAGATTAGAATTTATAGAAACTCCCCTGTGCAATTTAAGCGCAAACGGGAATATTCAACTCTTTTAATAGTTTAAACACTCGATCACAATTTTTTTTTTTTTTCCTTTCAAACACGCTAAAATAGAAAAAATTTTAAAAGTTCAAACATTTATAGATATTCTTAATCCGATGCAAATATAAAAATTCTAATCAAAATTTAACATAGATACATATTTTTCACGAGGCCAAACGATACATGATTATTATTATTATTATTATTATCATGATTATTAAAACATGTAAATGGCACGCTTAAATTTAACTGTCTTGTTTTATATTCAGTATATGTATTAATTTTAAAAATACATTTGATTATATTACATGCCATCCAATTATGACTCACTAATAAGTCTCAAAAGGGTTGTTTGAACATCGTGTCAAAATAGGCAGTTATGAAATACAAAAGCCAAATTAATTAATTAATTAATTAAAAAAGATCTAAAACCAAGACGTGCAAGCTCCCCTATTATCATGAAGATTTTCATCAATTAGAATGAGAGTTTTATTATTTCATAACAATAAAAGGGACAGAAAAAAACAGAGCTCGATACAACAAAAACTAAATTCTCTATATATTGAGGCTAATTTTTTTGTCATCTGCTTATAGTTCGAGATGAATAGCTGCTTGGATTTAGACGATCCCTCTTCAGCATGGCTTCGAAGCTACGAAGACAATTAAGCGGTCCAACATTCCATCTATTCTTCTGAGCAATTCGGTTGTTTATGTTATCCAACCTCGTTATAATTTCCCTGAACGATGGTCTTTTATATGGCTCCGCGCTCCAGCATTCCTCTATTAGCCTGCACAAACAACAAGAATAATCTCTTTTTTAATTCCGACCCCTCTGAAGGAGAACCAATCATAACAAAAGAAGCATGGCAAAATAAAAAATGATGGTGCATGGTTATCTAGGAAACATTTCCTTAATGATTACTACCACTAATTAGAAAGCATCATCCTCCCCCACCTCCTAAAACCCCAAAAATTAAAGAAAAGAAACTTGGAGGATGTTAATTGCCGGAACTGCAAACAAGAACAAATAATATTAAAAGAGAAATTGCAACCTCTTAAATTTGTTCCATCTTTCTAAAGCTAAACAGATGCTATATTGACAACAATCAAATTAAAAGACAGGCTAGCTAAACGAGTTCATACTTTTGTTATCCTTTTATTATTCTTGTTAATTTTTTGAACTCTTCCCACCCTTTCAGGTTTGGATTCGTCTCAACTCTAAGCAACAGTAGTTAGGGACAGATTTCACCTCTCTGCCCCAGATCTGCTCAATAATCTCTCTCTCCGAACCCATCCAAGTCAGGGCACAACTGCGTCCTCACAAAATGGATCACAACCCACAAAACTGCACTGGCTTTCCCAGTAAACAGAAGCCAAAATTCTGATCAGACCAAAAACACAAATATCTGCAGATCTGAAAATAGAGACTTAATCTATGGAGTGCTTAAGGTTTCCTTCAACGCTGGAGTATGATCTATGGTTTGCTTATCTAAATAAGGTAAGGAAAAAGGATCAGTTTTGGTATCACAGTTTTCAGAAATAAATTGTCAATGTACAATTACTGAGATCATGAAATATATAATACATCTTACTGACTCAAAAAATACTTGATCACTGGTTCCATAGAGCAGTTTCTATTCTTATTTACTACCATAGTTTAGGGACAACAAATGGACAGTTCAGATTTGAGCCTTGAACAACATATATAATCAGTGAATTAATAATATAGATTACTTAATCGCCGCAATAAAAGTCGAAACACTAAGGAAGATAAAAGGACAGAACTGGAGAACAATAACATTACTCCTTTAGTCCATGTGGATATCGCTTTGCCAGAGCTCTAAATGGTGGCCGTTCATTTGCAGCATATGCTTTAGGAACTTCAAAATCTTGCCTTGTTGAAAATGGAGGACAGCCTTCAATCATCTAGAACATTAGAAGGTAATGGGGATCAATTAGAATGCATAAAAACCTCCACACTCTTTGCATTTAGAAAAGGAAGAACTTGCATATTTCAAAATGCAATGACCCCTAGACTGAAATTCAGTGTTCAGCCCAAAATCCAAAACACCCATGAACACCCCCCCCCCCCCTTTAGAAAAGCGAAGAACTTGCCATATTTCAAAATCAATCAATAATGACGCCCTAGACTGAAATTCATGTTCAGCCCAAAATATATCCAAAACACCACCCCATGAACACCCCCAACCCCCCTCTCCGTAATAAATAAATACAATAACTACAATAACCCCCCCCCCCCTCTCCTAATAAATAAATAAATAACTAAATAACAGACAATCAATGTTTTCCAAACCAACCCAGGTCAATAATCATCAAATCACAAAAGGAATAATATAAAATGTTGGAGATTCAACCCGGTTTAACTAAAATCAAATTATAATACATGCATAAATACAGACACATACATTTATATATACATGCATGTCACTAATTTCAGTAGAACGCGATAGGTAAATTGAGATATACTGGAATTTGTTAGTGTTATTAAAATTTAAAAGTGAATATTGGGATAAATAGACTAAAATTCCAATATAACAGATTACTTTCCACAAATCATGTGATACTTTGAAATAAACTTTTGGGGCTTACTACATAAAATTACCCCTGAACTTTAGCGTTTAGCCATGTTGTACCCCAACGTTTTCTAGAGACTTATAATGCCCCTGAAGTTTTAATTTTTAGTAACACAACCTTGCACCTAGAGGTTGATAGGCGAAATTTTTAGTAACAGTTTTCAGAGACCCATCATATGCCCCTGAAGGTGCTTATTTATAATAAAATTGCAACTTCAGTGAATCATGAGTCTCTCAAAACTCCAAAGTGCCACAGGGATAAAACCCTAAAGTTTCTAACTTTAGGGTCCAATCTACCAGGAAGATTCAAAATAAAAGTGGATATGTGAGTTATTGAAATCTACAATAGTTAGAGTGCAAAGTTGCGAATTGGCACTTAACTCAATGATAAAATATTTAGGTCAAACTAACAACTAATCTAAACAATTTATTTAGTAACAAAGTAGCATAACATATTTCAGGTGCAAACAAAAATTCATGTCCACGAACCCTGTACTACATCTACCTGGACATCCTAGCACCCCTACCCCCATCATGCAGCACAAAAAAGAAGTGATGAAATCCTGATTGTAAAAGCAGAGAAGATAATTGTGTAAGAAGCAGAATGCAAATGCTAAATGCAAGTCACATATTTGCAGTGTCTTTCAACTTATGTGGTAAAATTTGATGATCTACAAACCACAACAGCTTATAAATTTGCCAAAGGCTAAGGTCAGTGTTTATGCCAGTAGAAAAGTCTATTATATATAGTACACTGAAACATACATTGACAAACATGTCCTAGTATATAGCCACTTTCAACAGGAAGAAATACATAGAATCACAGACACACATGCACACACACACACACACACACACACACACACACACACACAGAGAGAGAGAGAGAGAGAGCCTCAGTATATAGCCACTTTCAACAGGAAAGACAATACAATAGAGATCACAGACACACGAATGCCACCAACCACCACACACACACACCACACACCACACACACACACACACACACACACACACACACACACACAGAGAGAGAGAGAGAGAGAGTATAGACCTCTTGTAATATTAAAGCAAACGAAAATACATCTACTTTAGTGTCGTATTCTTCATTTCTGTAAACCTCTGGAGCCACATATCGCCCTACCAAAATGAGAAATATCATACTTTGAAGCATTTCTTCAGGTTTCCAAAGGCTAAAACATATTGATTTTGCATATCACAGAGGTCGCTATAAATACCCAGGAAGATTTTTACAGAATATAATAAAAGAAAACTGTAAGTATTGATGCTGTCAGGCTAACAAATGCCCCTAAAATATTATAATTACCAACACAACCTCTACACCTCCCTCAACAAAGCAAAAATCTATTTTGCCAATCTATGTCTTAAAGGAAAGTTTTCCCAGATAACCACCACTGACAATTAAGGAAAGAACAGTTTTTGTCCAATTCAGAGAACTTACAAGAAGTGTCTTGAGATGGTCTGTCTTCCTTAACTGTTTTTGTAACTTTAAGAAGCTTGCTAATTCCAAAGTCTGCAACTTTCAGATGCCCAGAATCATCCCGCAGTATATTTCTGTTTTCTTACTCGTAAATGAGAAACTTTCAAACAGGTTTAGACAATAAGGAATTATAATGGAAACTTCATGCCAAACACTTCTCAACTACAACTGAGAAGAAATTAAATTACAAAAGAAGTATCAACATGACCATGTATAAAGTAAAACATACGAAGGCTCAAGATCTCTATGAATTATTGCCTCAGGTTTATGCTCATGCAAGTAGTTCATTCCCCTGCAAAATACAACAGAATATTAGTAGTTCATTCCCCTGCAGAATATCAGAATATTCCATGAGAGTATATATGCCATAGTTGAAGAATATTATCTAAAATGAACAAAGGTACAATGGCTACCTTGAGCCTAGCTACTTTAGTGAAAGTGAAAACATGCCTTTTCACGATGCAAGGTGCATATTTCAACAATTAACAGGTATATTTCAGCAGTTTTGCTTGTTCTATAGAAACAAGTTGAGTTATAATCTTATGGGTCTTAGATTTAGTTTTGTTTTAGAGCTACACTAATAGTCCTAAATGTAGTAGACAAAATAAGTAGGGGTTTGTTTTAGTTAACCAAACATCATACGGATCTGGAGTCTAAGCCACTAAAGGTTCAGAGTCCTTTAAGTGCAGAAATAACCATGCCCTTAGGCACTATCATTCAATGCCTCAATTAATGCCTACATTTCATTGATTCTTGGATTGTATTATTTGATTCTACTCTAGGTGTGATGCTGATGGTGAACATTGGGTGTGATAACTAAGGGAATCTAACTGTGAAGCTCAGAATCAATTTTCTTCTTACCTTTCGCTACGACCAGAAACATTCAGACACTCAATCAGTAGGGTATGGGTTTTAAAGTTCTAACAGATGGATTTGGGTCGGGTATGGGGTAAGGGGCAGACCGAACCCAAACCCAGCCTAATTATATATATTTGTTGATTTTTATATATTTGTATCCTAAATATATAATAAATTAACCTTATTTTAGTCTATATATATATATATATATATATTAATATAAAGAATATATAATCACATTAACCTTATTTTAGTCTAATATGATATATATTATAATATCAATTATATCAACATGAAAACAAGAGAAAATTATATTAAGTTAAAAAAAAACAATGCTTCAATTTGATTTTAAGAATAAAAAGATTATGAAAAACATATATATATATATATATATATTAATATATCACATGAAAACAAGAGAAAATTATATTTAAAGTTAAAAATAAAACAATGCTTCATATTTGATTTTTAAGAAAAAAGATTATGAAAAAAAATATATATAAAAAACAAAAGCCAGGTAAAACTGATCCAAACCCGTCAAGTTGAGCAGGGTTGAAATGCAAACTTCTTTACTGACCTAGCAATATCAAGAGCAAACTTCACAGCTACTCTTGGCTTTAATGCACCTTTTTGCTTCAAATAAGCACAAAGATCACACTGAAAAAATTAAAAAATAAATATTAAAGAGCATATACTTTCAAACAGTTACACCTCATGGAATATTGTTAGACTACATCAAAGTATCAAACCATCCAACAAAAGCTAACAAAGTCGGCATAGCACCAATTGCCAACATTAAATACTATAAGAAACTAAAAGAAATGCCTCAGGGCCTTCTGATCTCAAATTTCCTTCACTGAAGGGCATGCCAGGATCCGAGAAAGGTAACATAACATCAAATATAAGTTTTCTCTAACTGAGTTTTGCTGGTGACAACACTTTAGCTACTGTCCAGGATATTGAAATGATGGTGATAGAAAGTGTTTGATTCCAACAAGAAAAAAAAAAAAAAAGCAACTTCTTAGATCTTGAAACAAACTAGACAGCAGGCATAAGTGATACCAGTGTTCATTTGACAGCTTTCAGGTTAGGCTATTTAAAGTTAATTTTATGATGATATAAATGCTAGAAAGACTCGAACCTTTAAAATATTGGACTCCTAAAAAGTAAAAAACCATGCCTAGCCTGCTAGGACTCGACTTCTGATACTGAAGTAAGAAAGAATTTATGTTTCCTCTAGAACAATAAGCATTCGAAGTTAAAATTAAGACTTGAAATCTAAAAGGCATACAACCAGCCCATTCCAGTGAACATGAGACATAAAAACTGCAAAATGCAGGCCCAGTAGTTACTTTACTTGAACAAACCAACATGTAAGAATCCACAAGGACTAAAAAGTAGAAAGTATTAAGTAAACCATAATGTCTTGATAAGCCCCATATGAAATCTTAGACTATTGAGCTCTTCTATGTTAGCATCAAATTACAAAGATAATTAATTCATACTTTTCAATGAAAAGAAATTAAACAGTAGTATATCAAATTTATAGGAAGTATCTTGATAGGAGGATTTCGTAACTTCACAACATCACAAAGCAGCAAGAACAGAGAAGATGCCTTAAGAGTTGGAAGCTTCTCCCGTAGCAAAGTAAGGTGATAGATTTGAAGTTGTGTTGACGATTGAGCCTTTTTTTAAGCACATAAAAACTTGCCAATTCACAACTTTCCATCCACATCCTTTGCCCTTTTCCTAGTAATTCCATTATTGGATTAATTTTGAAATTTGCAATCAATACAAGTTTATTACTGAGAATTCTCCATATCATAAAATGGGGTGCATCTTATGCTGGCCATCCTACTACACCCTTTTCCATCATCCATGCAGATCAAATTGAATGCATCCATCAGTCTAGAAATAGAAGACAACCTTAGGTAAATATTCTGTGACAATCATCATAGGACTGCTTTGCGTTACAGCACCCAGGAACTGAACAACATTTGGATGACGAATCTTTTGAAGTAATGCAAGCTCATCCCTAAAACCCTTGCTGAACATGAAGAAGAAAACAAGTTATGAATAATTTAAAGACAAGTTCAGGACGAAATAAGAAAGAAAAGGAAAATACATAGATCAACTATGACCAACCCACACTTTATCCTCGTCAGTAAGGACTTCCTCTCCAAGTGTCTTAACAGCAACTTGAATTCCACGCCATGATGCAATGCGAAAGGTTCCCTGTAAAACTTTCAAGTGAATAAAAAAGTGCAGACAAGTGAAGGCTTTATTTAGAAAGAAGTCATGCTGCACCCAAGATCTTCATTTTTCTTTTGCATCAGTGGAACTAGCTGATACAATATAAAATTGCAAGGCACACAAGGTAACTAAGCCCTCAGCACAAAGAAAAAGCACTTTGAGACACACATTAATTAAAATATGAATAAAACATTAATATGATGTTATAAATTTGACAGTCGCAAACATCAAATGTAAACACATCCACAACTTCAATAATAAAAAATTAAATGCAAAAGCATCTAAAATTTCAAAAATAGAACATCATTTTACAAATATCACTGTTTGGACTAGTTTAATCTTTAATTTAAAGTCGTGCACACACTAGAATACAAAGAAATCACATTTCAAACTAACGAATTCCAAATAATACCGTCTAGCTACATCAATACTACAATAAAGAAGATGCACAAAAGATTGCAAAGGAAAAAGAACCCACCAAATAGCATAGTTAACCACACACAAAGAAGAAACAATTGCAAACCCTAAATTTTATTTTCAACTCTTCCCTAGAGAAAACTAATAGTGATTTATCATTATCATCGAGTAACAGTTCATCTTCCTTCTTTCCCTGAATTAAAGTTTTCAACATTTTCTTCCTCTTTATCCATCAGCCACAAATTTCTTGCCAATCAGTAAAATTTAATAGGGGAACCATACCCTGTGCCACCGCTCTACACAGTTGAGTTGACTAGGCAGACCAACATTTACCCTTTCAAGTATTAGTTTACAGAATTGTATCATTTTATAAATATAGAAACTATCATCCAATGGTCAAAACTAAATTATAAAGCCATAAATAAAATTATTCAACAGCAAGACTAAAAAGTTCTTTGCAGTTCTATCAAAAACATTTAACTTTGGCAAATTTGTGGAGCACCTTTTGAATTCTTGCAATTCCATCATCGATCCAATTTCAGGCAAAATAAGCCAGAATTTACTGATGGGACAGGTCTGAATTTGTTTTTCTTTTATTACATATTATGTGAAAAAAAAAAAATAAAATAATAAAATATACCATGTCAATAAGGCACATTTGTCAACTTAGTAACATAAACTGACAAAAATTTGATAAATTTTTGTCTGAAACATTAGCAACTACAAGTATAATTTCACCTAAATTGAACCACCGATAAAATTGTAAAATTTAAAAGATGCTAGATAATTTTGCCAAAATTAGAAATTTCTGATAGAATTAGAAAAGGTGCTAAAATTGAAGCATTTCTTGTAATTAAGCCTACTATAAAGGGGCATATGCCTCAGTACCAGGCAGACACCTTATGGATGGCCTAGCCTATGGGCACTCAAGGTACGTGCACAACAGCCAAAGTTTGCAAACATAGGCTTGCCTCTGATATTGCTGACAATTTTTTTGGTGGTGAAATGGTAGACAAGCGAGACTCAAAATCCTGTGCTAAAAAAAAACACTACTTTTAGAAAACAAAAAATTGAAATGCATTGCCTAGTGAGCACTCCCAAGGTGCTTAAAGTAAAGTGTCACCCTTATCACTTGAGGCACATACCTTGATAATATTTTATTCAGCATCTTTTTCCCCCTCTGTTCTAATTTTCTAGTTCCTTCATCTAGAAATCTCCACCATTTGGCTCGGGTATGTATGCGTGAACTTATATGAGAAATGGAGAACAGACAACTGTTCTACACAAGAGGAGAACCCAAGAGCTGTTACAGATTCTCTGCATTCAACCAGATTCATTATCTCTCTCTCCGTCATTCTTCTTCTCTATCCCTCTTCACTCAATCAATTGTCTTTTTCTATTCTTCCAGTCTCTATTGGCTATTGGTCCTCATTTTCCCCTTCCCCATCTATTATTCTCCTTTACTCTCACTATAAAATATCATGGTCCAGATTGCATTTTCTACATTCTACCTCTGCTGTCGCTCAGTCTCTATCTTTGTTTCTTTTCCTTTCTCCTTTTCTGGATGCTTTTTTCTTATTCGTTTTCCTTATCTTTTCGGGATGCTTTTGTTGCTCTTGTGCCTGATTTTTCTAAAAAATCAGATCCCTATTAGTCTAAACTGCATGATGAGAAGTTGTCTTATGGTTATTATTGATATCTAGTAGGAAGATTCGATTTTTGTTTTAATCCTTTTCAACATCTTTAGTTTCATTTTTCTAATTTCAAAAGGCATTGGTTCTTGGATTCTGTCTTATGTTATGAATACATGTAGTTGACTTAGATAGGATATCTGTTGGGTGTTTCCTCTCTTGAGCTGCACCAGCACCTTGAGCATATGCTTCAATATCCTTTTGCACTTTAGTAACTAAATGTAACATCCAAGTGACCTTGACTGTCAGTCACTCCCCTTGCCTATGGAAGGTCCACCTGTTGCCTTAGTGTAATGTTTGATCTATGAATAAGAACGCCCTTTGATTCCTTTATGTGCGATGATGTGCTCTATGTTGCTATATGATTCTTTATGATGTTTGGCTTCCTATTATATTCGAACCTATCCTTATATGTTGGTACCATGTTCCCCTAATGCTATTATTGACTTGCAGATAACTAGTTGACACAATAGGGTGGCTTTCAAGTGTTCCAAGCAAGCGCCACATGGTTCCTCTTGTGTGCTTGATACGGGACCATGACATTTGATATCAATGAACCCACGGTTAAAAATATATATATTATTGACTTGCAGATAACTAATGTTGACCACAATAGGGTGGGCTTTTCAGTGTTCCAAGTCAGCGCCACAATGGTTCTCTTAGTGTGCTTGATACGGGCCATGAACATTTGATTCAATTAACCACGGTTAAAAATATATAGTAATATATATAATATATACTATATATTTTATATATATATTGTGAAATCTTTGTGATTAAGAGTAATATTGTGTTTCCTAATATTTAGGCTTTACTTCCTAATTAAGTATAAGATTAAATTTCCTATTTAGGGATATTCCTATTTAGATTACTTCCTATATTGGAACAATTTTTGTATATATATAGTGGAGTAGAGGTTGAAAATATTATCAAAAATTGAAAGAAATAAAACGCAGTCTTTCCTTTAATTTCTACATGGTATCAGAGCCATTGCCGTGAATTTTTCGGCAACGTTTTTGGTTTGAAATAGAGCTGAGATACACACAGTGCCTCCGAGAGTGGGAGTTGGCCGTCACCGCCCAGTTCAGAAGGAAGAGGGACCGCCGATCGGCCCTCCATCCAAGCCGCGTCGCCGTCCGACCACGCGCGTGTGCACACGCACCACTAGAAGATTTCGGCCGTTCTTCACTCGCCGACGCATGCGGCTGTTTCCGGCGAGCTCCGTCGACGTCGGATTTCTTGTTCACGACGAGCTCGACTTGTGTCGCGTTTTTTCCCCCTACTGTTCTCAGCACCACGTTTTGCGTTTGAATTTTGGTGGTTTTCGTTTTTTTCCGGTTTTTCTGCCACTGCTAGTTCTTCACACTTCGTTTGAATTTTTTTTAATACAGTATGGGTTGGACGGAAAGAAGGTGATATAGCTTTTCACTCAGAGAGTCCCTCACTTCAGATTAGTCCAGTTGACAGTTAGAATGAAAACTCAAACTACCTGGCTGATCGTCACTCGTTTAGTTTTATTGAAGCAAGAGGTTTGCAATGATTACCTTGTGGCTGGAGCGACCTTGTAAACAAGTCTTCACACAGATCCGGTTTTAACAATGACATCCGAGGGGAATTCTCTTATTATTGTCGTTGTTAAATTAAAATCCTATCAGCCAACGTATTTCCCGATGATATTTGCTTCTTGATACAAGCTAAGAAGATGTATGGGGATGCTTCTTCACAGACGTATTCACAAACTGAAAAAACTATGCTCAGAGGTCATGATTCGCGACGAGAAAGTTGCATAAAAGAACCAAGCAGGGAGATCGTACCATCGCTCTAAGTATTGCGACTAGTGGGTTATGGCAGGAAGCTAGATTATTATCAAGACTTTCAAGCAAAGATGTACTGATGATGCGACTCAAGTTCAAGGAAGTTGCATTGAGTAGACGTGTGTCATGCATTTGCGGCTTGGCCTAAGTTACCACGAGTATGACAGATTCTAGTCCAAGTTTGGACGACGATCCTTTTCCATCCTTACGACAAGATACTCATCTTGTAACAGCAAGAGGAGACTGAGGAGGAACGCTAATGGTTCACAATTACCCATTGACAAAGGCAGGGTTTTGATTGCTAATTCTGCAAAACGAGAACATACCAAGCTGCAAAGAAACAAGTTCCTCAACAAGATCATTATTTGACTATTGCGGTAAGAACAGCGCACACCAACGGAGTTCTGTGGAAATTACATTGGACGCCGCAACTAAAGGGCGTGGAGAAAGCGGGTCAGTCTCTTCTTAGAGCCACAGGCACACATATGCTGATAGTGGAGCTTTATCTGACGACAGGCACACATATCTGATAGTGGAGCTTTATCTGAGGAACCATCTACTGCTGGAAGCTTTTCTAATAAGGAGATTCAGTCCCTGAAACGATTGTTGTCACAACTTGATTCGTCCTCAACCCAGACTGTTTCAGGTAATGCTTTCCTTACCTTTTTTGCAAAAATTGCAAAACCCTCTTAGGTTATAAATTCAGGAGCAAATAAACATACAACCGGCTCTAAAAAACATTTCCTCACATATTCTAAGTATTAAGGCACAGACAAAATTCGCATTGCGGATGGCTCCTTAGTACCAATTGCTGGCATAGGTTCTATTGACTGTACTTCCAATATTAAACTCACTCTCCCATGTTCTTCATGTTCCCAGATTTCCTATTAATCTGTTATTTGTCAGCTTAATCACAAAAGTACTTAATTGCAAAGTAACTTTTTACCCAACTCATTATATATTTCAAGAACTGAACATGGGGAGAATGATTGGCAGTGGTAGCTTGCGCGATGGACTATATCTGTTGGATGACGTTTGTCATTTTTCAAATTCGGGTACTAGTCAAGCTTTGTTAGGAACTTTTAGAAATCCTTCCGATGAAGTTATTCAATGGCATAGTAGATTAGGACATCCCTCTTTTTCTGTTTTAGGACATTTATTTCCCACTTTGTCTGCTAAATGTGATTTTAATTCATTAGTATGTGATGCTTGTGAACTCTGCTAAATGTGATTTTAATTTCATTAGTATGTGATGCTTGTGAACTTGCCAAACACACCAGGCATTCTCATTCTGCCGATTAAAATAAAAATTTTGATTCCTTTTGCACTATTCATGCTGATGTTTTGGGGTCCTTACTAAAACTGTCTCTCTTTTCTGGTTATAGATGTTTGGACCTTTAGTGAGTTGTTGCCACTAGAGTTGACTTGGTTTATTTGATTGAAAAACAAAGAAATGAAGTTTTTTCGTGTTTTTCAGAATTCCATAAAAATGATTTGGTACTCAGTTTGATACGCAGGGTTAAAATCCTAAGAACTGAATTGGTGAATACATGAATGCAGATTTTCGTACCTATTTAGTTCTAATGTATTAATCCAATCAGACTAGTTGTGGTCCAATGACAGTGCTCAAAAATGAAGTAGGCAGAAAGGAAAAATAGGCATTTTACTGAATAGCTAGTCCCTTATGTTCACTATGAATCTCCCAAAACCGATATTGGGGATGCTATTTTGACTGGCTGCTACCTTATCAAGTCGTATTGCCTCTTCGTCACTTAATTTTAAAACTCCATTAGAGGTTCTTCAAGGAAAAAACTCTTATATTGTACCTCCTAAAGTACTGTTGATGTGTTTGCTTTTTCATCAGAATGGTCTTAGCAGAATGTAGATCCTAGAGCCTTGAAGTGTGTGTTTGGTGGTTACTCTACTACTCGAAAAAAGATACAAGTGTTATATCCTTCTTCCAGGAAATACTTTGGAGTATAGATGTTACCTTTCGGGAGTTTGAAATCTGTATTTTCTTCCCAGTCACCTTGCTTCAGGGAAGAAATATTCAGATGGAAGAGGCAATGGATGGACATTGCTTTTTCGCCCCAGGGGGAGGATTTTTTTTCTGTAGACATTAATAGTGTAAGAGAGACCAACCACCCAAATCTCTAGGAAGATTGGATAGGACCTGATTTGAAAAACCTACACACGGCGGACTAAGTACAATACAAACCATGTGGAGCATGAGACCTCTGATCAACCGTCCCTCCAATTTCAGTACGGGAAGAGTAAGAAGAGGAAGAACTTGGTGAGTTCTCTTTAATTCCTGTGGATTTCTGATACCTAATGCTTGATCCAGTCCTTCTGATAATGAGCCTTGATATCCCTATTGCTCTTAGAAAAGGAGTAGAACATACAAACATCCCACTTCCCATGTCATCGTCCTAAGCAATTGCTGCTTCCCCTCCTATACAAGCCTTTGTTGTTCGTTTCTTCGTTCGTTAGTACTGCAGGATTTGGCAAGAGGCAGTTAACAGGATTCAAAATGGAAGGCTATGCAAGTTGGTTGAGGAGATTGAGGAGCTTTGGCAAAAAAATGAGACATGGATCTTGTAACTCCTCCACCAGGAAAGGAAGCCAGTTGGCATGTAAATGGGTGTCACAGTTTAAACATAGGGCAGATGGTTCAATTGAAGCTACAAGGCTAGATTGGTAGCCAGAGGATCAGCCAGACTATGGTGTTGATATCAGAAACATTTGCCCCTATTAGCCAAGATGAACACAATCAGAATTTTGTTGTCTTGTGCAGTCAAGTCTTGACTGGGAGTTACATCAATTGATGTAAAATGCTTTCTACATGTGATTTGAAAAAGGAGGTGTGTATATGAGATTCCTCCTGGATTTGTGATGAGACAAAAACCAGACGAAGAAGTATGCAAGCTGAAGAGAAGTCAGTATATGGCTAAAACAGATCACCAAGAGCATGGTTTGAAATAGTTTAATAAAGCTATGCTTTCCTTTGTATATTCAGAGCGATTGCTGATCATACTTTATTCATAAAACATCGATGAAGGTAAGATCACGTTTGCATTGTCTATGTATGATATAGTTGATGACGGAAATTGAATGAAGAAGAATTTGACTCGCTTGAGAAAATTTGATTGAGCTAGGGATGAGATTAAGATTTTGGAAAGTTAGATTATTCCTTAGTATAGAAAGTTGCTTAGAAGTTGCTAGGTCAGAAAAAGGGATTTTTATTTCTCAGAGAAAGTATATCCTTGATCTCCTTAAAGAAACTGGTATGTTGGGATGTAAACCTCCAGAATTACCTATTGAAGCTAATCATAAGCTTCAAGCTGGAGTGGGAAGTTCAATTGACATTGGCAGGTATCAGAGATTGGTTGGGAGGTTGATTTATCTTGCCCATCCTAGACCAGATATTGGCTATGCTGTAAGTTTAGTGAGTCAGAAAATGCATGACCCTCGGGAGTCTCATTTAGAAGCAGTGCATCGAATTCTGAGATATTTAAAATCAGCTCCAGGTAGAGGACTTTTATTTTCTAAACATGATTTAACAATAAGTAGGCGTAACAGATGGCAGATTGGGCTGGTTCCGCTGGATGACAGGAGATCAACCGCAGGTTATTTGTGTTTTTCGCTTGGAGGAAACGCGTGTCAATGAGAAGCAAGAAGCAGGTTGTGTGCAAGTCTAGTGGCCAGAAGCTGAGTGAGTATAGAAGCTTGATGGCACAGGGAATCTATGACTTCTATTGGTGGCGCAGAATTAATGGAAGAGTTTAAAGTTGGTTAAAACAACAAATATATCTTTGTTTGTATAGTAAAAGCAGCCATCAGTATTATGAAGACAATCCAGTCGCAGCATGATCGAACTAAGCACATAGAGATTGATCGGTCACTTTATAAAAAGAGAAGATAGTGAAGGTGTATAAGCGTCTCCTATATAACCCTTCAAAGAGCAACTAGGCTGATGTTTTCACCAAAGGCTTTGCATAGCAAGTTGTTAATCCTTTAGTTTGCAAGTTGGCGATGAGTAATTATCTATGCACCAACTTGAGGGGGAGGTTGTTGAAAATCCTGTGATTAAAGTTAAATATAGTGTTCCTAGGTTAGTTTGATTGTCTAATTAGTGTAAAAGGATTTGTTCCTAGTTTAGGATATTCCGATTTAGATATCCTATATTGGAAACAGATTTTGTATATATATAGTGGAGGAGAGGTTGAAAATATTATCAAAATTGAAAGAAGAAATTAAAGACAAGTCTTTCCTATTTCTACATATATATTATATATATAATTATATAATGTTTTCCTCAGCCTCAATGACAATGTTGATGATGATGAGGGAGAGAGAGAGAGAGAGAGAGAGAGAGAGAGAGGAAAAAATATGAAGCAATTAAAAATTTTATATTTTATTTGAGTTAACAATAAAGAGAAACTACTGCTTAGAGACCTAGATAAAATTATTAGCAATATCAGGAACTATAGGTAAAAGTAACAGAGGCTTGGCTAAATTAGAAAGACAGACTGTTGCTCTGTACCACACTAGAAAAGAAAAAAACAGAAAACAAAAGATCTGCATCGTTACTAACAGGGAGATGCAGATTAACATGAGTGTGAAGTTGGGGCAGAAAACCAAGATAGCACAGAGAATGCGTAACATTTAGAAAATGATTCAAGCACAAAATGTTGTATTGTAAGTAAAGTGGTGTTTCTTAATTTTAATATGCAGAGCCAAGGGCATTAAATTCTCTCTCAAAGTTACTTGGTACATTCTAATCCAAGAATGAGATTATCACGAAAACAACAATGTGAAAACAGAATGGTCCTTCCTGTATTTTTATCTTTTGGAAAAAATTAAAACTATTTCATGATTAGAAGAACCAGAAACAACCCTAAAACAGGCCAAGACTTGATGCCTGATAACTTAGAATCGCAGCATAAATTCTTATTAATAAATGGTGTAAGAAAAAAAAAAAAAAAAAAACATCACCTATCAGCTTGCAAAACATAACAAAAAAAAAAAAAAAAAAAAAACATCACCTATCAGCTTGCAAAACATAACATTCACTTTGTATATCATCTAAACCCAGAAACTTTCGAAATTGTTGCTTTAGAGTGCATACTAACAATTCAACCCCGCTGATACCCAAATAATATGCGACAATTTCAAAGTAGCAAATGGACTGCTGATAGTTATCATATCATCTAAACCTGGAAACTCCCTAAACTGATGTTTTAGAAAGCATGCTAACAACTCCACCTAGCTGATAATGAAACAATATGCAATAATTTCAAAGTAGCACATGGACTGCTGACAGTTGTCATATCATCTAACCCTGGAAACTTTTGAAACTGATGTTTTAGAAGGGATGCTAACAACTCAATCCTACTGATAGCAAAACAATATGCAATAATTTCAAAGTAGCACGTACATACACTGCTGACAGTTGTCATGATCTGTACTTGATTCTTCACAGAAAATACCATATGAACCAGAACAAAAATTATCCACTTCTCAGGTTCATCAAAAAGTGAATGAAAAAAAAAAAAATAAGAAACAGGAATACTTCGCTCATTTCTAAATAAAAATCCATTAATAGTTGAAGAAACAAAACTAAAATACGAGGTGGAACTGTAAGTTACCTTTGTTATATGAACACTGTTAGAAAAATCAAGTTCTCTAGGATCAATCTCATACTCAGGAACTTCACGAGCATTTTGTACATGCATTGGAGCTATCTAGTATAACAAGAGAATGACAAATAAATAGACAAAAAAAGCATGTAAAAAGTATCAAGTACAAGCAAGAAAAGATGATCAAGGCTTTGGCTAATGGAATATATAATTGCAGCTAGAACTTAAGAAAACAGAAAAGCCAAGCCACATACCGGGGGTTTTGCACCATGTTTCTCTAGAAGCTTTATCACGTCATGATTTTTGTAATAAATAGCATCAGCAAGAGGCTGTTACATCAACCACACAATATATTACATCAGGAATGATTGACAATTTACAGCAGAAGTAATATTATACAAAATTTCTAATTCTAATACAGAGCCATAGCCACTACAGAACTAAAACTCGAGCCTCTTTCCTTTTGATCACAAACAAAGAGTATCAAACATTCAATTTTCAGGCTCCTGATCTTCTTTAAATGTTCAGTAGATAAATATATTATATGTATTTAGCAACTAAATTCCAACAAATTCAATTAATATCTCAAAATAAATTAGCATGTAAAATTATGTTCTAGATAATTACAGTGCTGCCCCAGCGGTCCTCGGTGTCAACCGCAGCTCCTCTATCGAGCAGTAACTGAACGACGTCGGAGAAGCCCTGACAAGCAGCGACATGCAAAGCTGTGCGTCCATCTATATCTTCAAAATTAACATTGATACCTGAGTCCAAGAGCTCCTTAATCCCCTCTATGTCTCTCTCATTAGCTAAATACATTAACCGAACCCTCGGGTCTATGATCGCCTCTTCTTCTTCATTCTCCGCTGGCAGAGGCGACGAAGACGAACACCCTCTTTCCGGCTTCAGTGAAGACTGCTTGCCAAGGATGAAACGAGCTGTTGATTGCGGTTCTGGCAACTCCATATGGCTTTGGCTCCAGGAGTGATTAGGAAGGGAAAAAAAAAAAAAAAAAAAAAAAGAAGAAGAAGAACAGAGTATCAGACTCGACCTAGAGAACTTAGGAATCCATTCACTGTTGGCGGCGTCATTCTAAAGATAATAACCGAACCAGGAACAAAGGCTAGGGAGAACCAAATAAACAAGAATACATTAAACAAATAAAGGGTAAAGACAAATCGAGGAAATTATACGATAGGGATAATTTTTAGGCAAATACTATTAACTCCTTATATATTGCTCAAATTAGTTAAGACCTATTATTTCTTTAAATATATAATTTCATCCTAAGTTATGGCCTCGTTCGATTAGAATATTTAGTCTTTCCGTCCACGAAACATTAATGCTATATTTGGATGAAGTGAAGTAAGGATTATTAAAATATGGCATGGGAAAGTATTGTAAGTGTCATGTTTGTGTTTAGAGGAAATGTATGGTAAATAAAAATTTAATAACACTGTTTTGTTGGATTAGATGGTATGGAAAGGTAAGGTTAAATATAAAGATTACAAAACTATCATTGTCATTGAGGATTTTTCTTCTAAGGAAATAATAATTTATGAATATTAAAATAGTTCATTCTAAATTATATAATAAGGATATTAATAAAAAATAATACTGAAAATTAAAATATGATGATAAAATACGTTTTTAATATAACAATTTTTTTTTTTTAACATTCAAACGCTGCTTAATTATTAATCTCATCCAAAAGCAAAACATCATGAATAATAGATGGAGGTCTATCAAACTACTCAACGAAACCAGACATAAAACCAGTGGCCCTAGCTAACACATAAGCGACTTGGTTTGCTGATTTTCTAACATAAGAAATCGACAATGATGTAAACTCAATTTACAATCATGAATAAACAAAGCAAAATAAGAATTAAGCAGTAAAATACTCTCTAATGCCTGCTGAACCATTTGACAGTCCAATTCAAGCACCACTCGCAAATCTTTATACTGTGCCTTCAACCAGCCCAACGCCTCTCGCACACCCATCACTTCAGCATCAAAGCACTTTGAACCCGTCCCAAAGGCAAGCATGGACCCGCCACAAACTTCGCAGGTTGGTCCCGCAAAACCATCCCAACTCCAGCTAGGCATGGCCACCGGTTCGGTTCTAACCGGAACTGAACCGTACTGTAGACGAACCAGAACCGGACCGAAACCAGCGGTTCATAATTTTGAACTGGAACCGGCAGTTCAAGGGCCGGTTAAGGTTCATGTGAATGTTAAAATATGAACCGGAACCGGCGGTTAAATATGAACCGGAACCGGCGGTTCCGGTCCGATTTCCAAAATTGGGTATGCACAAAAAATTGTAGCTTAAAAGTTTTATAAAAAATTTAAGCACTTGATTGATTGTAGTGATTTGATTATGTGAAGAAAGTAAAATGGTACATATTATAAAAATTGTTGAAAAAAAAATACACATTTTGACTTAATTTATATAAAAAAATGGTACATGAATAGTTGATGTTATATAAAAGAAGAATACTTTCAAGTTGTACAAAAAAAAGCTGTAACGGAATAGTTTTTGAATAGATAGTGTTTTTGATTATTTTTGGTAAATAAATTTATTTATTTTAATCATTTATTCATTTATTTTACTGCAATTTAGCTAAATTATCCAAAAATATGGGCTGTTATTTTCTGTTATAAGGACATTTGGAAAACTATAAAATGAGAAACATGTATAAATATGATGAGTTGATGATTTTATTCACAATCAATTTATATCATAACTCTCTCTTATTCTCAATCAGAATTCTCTCAAATTTCCATAGTTCATATGTTTTCGATTGCTTTGAATTCCTTAAATTGGAAATCTATTGTTTATTTTTTATTTTTTACACCAAGTTCCAAATTCCTTTCTCTAATCTTAAATTTTCCATTCATAAATTTACTTCATTAGTTTTTAAATAATTTTCTTGGTATTGAAAATAATAATTTCCAACTCATTTCCATTTAATTTTATATTCCATTTATAGTTTTTATATTAGGAATTAGAAAAATTTGTAATTTAATGTTAATAATAGTTCTAATTAGTTAATAGAAGTTTCTTTTAAAATTATAATAATCATAGTTTAATAAAATGTTTAAACGATTTTAAAAATTATTATTATTCGTTGAATTCGGAATCAGAAAGTTATTATTTTATTTAAAATTTTGCTGTAATGCCGGAACCGAATCGGAAACCGTAATTTGTCGAACAGTCGTTCGCCGGAAACCGTGCTGAACGTGGCCGGAATGCTGAACCGTGCCGGAACCAGAACCGGACCGGAACCAGAGGTTCAAGGGTCGGTTCCAGTTCAAAATTTTAAACATCTCGAACCGGCGGTTCACTGAACCGGCCATGCCTAACTCCAGCCATCGTTATCTTCTCATTATAAGCGGCATCAACATTACATTTAACTCCTGCAGACTCCGGCTGCCACCTTACTCCCAAAACAGTAGAATTCTGGTTACTAGTTACTGGAGAAACTTTAGTCGACTGCTAGTCTTCCAAATACCGCTGCGCGTTATGGATTAGCAGCATTGGGTTACTCTCTTTTTGCTACCAAACCAGACGATTCCTGGAGTTCCACAGCTCCCAAGCTAACATCACAGCCTCTTCAACTTGTTATCAATCACAGGTTTGTCTCAAAGACATAAACCAGTCCCCCAAACTATCAACCTGCCCCTGCTAGCCAATATTGGACATCACTTAACAAGTACTTGCAAACTAACATTGCACAAGACAATAGATTACAGTTTCTGCATCATTATTACAAATAGGACAGAGTTTAGGAACATCAGTATGTCGCTGATGCAAAACTACACGAACAGGAAGGACATTAAGCATAGCTCTCCACTAAAAATTGAGCACCTTTGGTGGGAGTTATAATTTCCAGATGTATCGCCAAATTTGAGACGAAAGAAAAGACACCAATTGTAGGTGATCATATTGTTGCCTGTAACCAGATTTAACTGTATACACACCTTTAGAGTTAAATTTCCACATCCACATATCAACTGCCAAATGATGAGACAAAGGAACCTGTTGAATAAGCTCCGCCTCATCCACGTCAAAAATCATGCTAATAAATCCTTGTCCCATTCTCCCAGTCCTGGTTTCATCAAATCAGACACCAACAAACCATCCATACCCGTATTATTAGAAGAGCTTTCATAGTAAGACTGTGAATGTAATAACTAGGGAGAATGAAAAACAAACGTACTCCTACCATCACCAATCCTTCGAAGACAGCCTCTCCTAAGCAACGGCAGCACATCACTGCTAGGAAACTAAGCAAAATTTCCTATAAAACCAGATTAGTGAGAATGCCAAATAAAAGCGGAATAATAACACACACAAATTTGATAACGGAGTTCAGCCAATTCTGCCTACGTCTCCGGAGCTGCTGTAGATCTTTTTTACTAAAAGGAGAAAAAATTATACAAAGTGTTTACAACACTTATAACCCACAACTCATAAATTCACCCAAGAAAATTACTCTCAATTTTCTCTCACCAATTACTCTCAATTTTCTTCTCACCAAGCTTTTCTCTCTGAACTCTAGCTTAAAGGGATTCCTCTCTGAGCCAAATGAGTTATGCACAAACACTTATGAAGTCTCTATTTATTAGAGTGCCAAAATTGTGGTGGCCAACCATGTGCCTTAATTTTCGTTGGGTTGTTGGTTGTTGGCCAACCATGCATACCAAATTTGACTAACAAATTTCTTTGGTTGGTGGCCAACCATGCATGCCATACATGCCAATTTTGACTAACAATTTCCCACTTGAAGACTGATTTCAATCTGTCTTCACAATTTGATCAATACAGCAACTTTTCATTTTGTTACTTTAGCAGGCCAACTGAAGCTGAACACAACTTCAGCTTATCGATAGTCACTGTCTTTGTTAACATATCTACCGGATTCTTACTTCCTTGGATCTTCTCCAGTAGTAACACATCATCTTCTAATAGAGATCTGATGAAGTGATAACGAAGTCCAATATGCTTGGTTCTGGAATGAAATGTTGAATTCTTTGCCAAGTGTATCGGACTTCGTTATCACTTCATCGGATCTCTATTAGAAGATGATGTGTTAATACTGGAGAAGATCCAAGGAAGTAAGAATCCGACAGATATGTTAACAAAGACAGTGACTATTGATAAGCTGAAGTTGTGTTCAGCTTCAGTTGGCCTGCTAAAGTAACAAAATGAAAAGCTGCTGTATTGATCAAATTGTGAAGACATATAGTGAATATATAACCGGTAGTGCTTCTTCGATGATCGACTTCACCTCCAAAGTTTGCGTCCACATAGCCTTGTACTCTCAACTCTCCCTTATCAAAGTATAAACACTTTTCAATAGTGCCTCGTAGATACCTCAAAATCCACTTGACTGCTTCCCAATGAATTTTTCCTGGGTTGGACATAAACCTGCTAACAACTCCCACTGCATAGCCAATGTCTAGTCTCATACAGACCATCACATACATCAAACTCCCAATAGCTGAGGCATAAGGGACCTTACCCATGAAGTCTTTCTCTTCCTCCGTCTGAGGAGATTGATCCTTGGATAAGTGAAAGTGACTTGCCAAGGGTGTGCTGACTGGCTTGGCGTCACTCATATTGAATCTTTGCAAAATACGGTTGATGTATTCTGCCTAAGATAATTGCAAAATTCCTCTTTGCCTATCTCTCGTGATTTGCATTCCAAGAATCTTCTTAGCTGGACCCAAGTCCTTCATATCAAACTCTTTTGACAATTGCTGCTTCAATCTTGCTGCTTCAATCTTCTAATATCATCCATATTTGAACCTGCTACTAACATATCATCAACCTAGAGCAGTAAAATGATATAACTGGACCTGTATCTTTTGAAGAAGCAACAGTGGTCGGCGTTGCACTTCTGGAAGCCTTCATTGTGCATGAAACTGTCGAACTTTTTGTACCACTGTCTTGGAGCTTGTTTCAGTCCACCATACAAGCTCTTCTTGAGTTTTATTCTCTTTTTCCTTTTTCTGGAGAATCCTTTCTGGCTGTTGCATTGTATATCTCTTCATCTAAGTTCTCCGTGAAGAAACGCCGTCTTTACGTCCAACTGCTCAAGGTAGAGCCTTCACTGGCAACAATTACTCAACACAGACCTGATAGTATTGAGTTTTTACAACTGGTTGCAAATTATTGGTTCGGGTGTAGTCAACTCCTTCCCTTCTGCATGGAACCCTTTGACTACCAGTCGAGCTTTGTATTCTCTTTTGGAACCATCATGTTCCTCTTTCAACTCGGGGATACACCATTTATTGGAAGTGCCTTCTTTCCAACGGCGTAACTTCAGCTAGTTCCCATGTTTGATGTGGAGATTAAAGACCTTCATTTCTGTCTTTCATGGAAAGCTCCCACTTGCTGGCATTCTGCCGTTTGACATTGCTTCCTCAAAGCATATGCTTCCTCAAAGCATTCAGGTTCTCCTTCATCTGTTAATAACAAATAATTCATATATTTTCTGTTAGGCTTTGGAGGACGTTCAGACCTTCTTAAAGCTTTTGGAGGAGAAGTTTGTGGTGTGTCGATCGAATCCTCTGATTGAGGATCTTTAACTAACTCATTCTGCAGACTTTCTGAGATGTCCTCCACCTCTACAAACACTGGCCCACTCTGCTCTGAGTCGCTGGCAACTGTGTTATGTCTGTTCTTGTACATCATTATTTCATTAAAGACTACATCTCTGTTGCGGATCACTTTCTTATTTTCTTCATCCCAGAGGCAGTATCCAAACTCATCTCCACCATAGCCGATGAAAATGCATTTCTTAGATTTAGGATCAAGCTTATTCCTGCCATGATCACTTATATGCAAATATGCTACACAACCTGCTACACAACCGAAAACTTTTAGATGTGAGAGTTTTACTTCTTTTCCACTCCATACCTCTTCTGGTATTTTGTGCTCCAATGGTACCGATGGACCTCGGTTGATCAAGTAAGCTGCTGTGTTGACTGCTTCTGCCCAGAACTGCTTTGGTAAGCCTGATTGTACACATAAGCTTCTGGCTCTTTCTATCAACGTTCGATTCATACGCTCAGCTACACCATTGTGTTGAGGCGTGCCTGGCACGGTTCTCTCCATCTTGATTCCATGCTCATAGCAGAACTTTTTGAACCCGGTGTCTTCATATTCACCACCATTGTCGGTTCTAAGCTTTTTGATTTTCAGTCCTGTCTCATTTTCAACCATAGCTTTCCAAATTTTGAAAGCATCAAAAAGCATCAAATACTTCTGACTTATATTTTAGAAAGTAAACCCAAACTTTCCAAGAGTGATCATCGATAAAAGTCACAAAGTAGTGTTTCCCACCAATGGATGAGATAGTAGTTGGTCCCCACACATCGGAGTGTACAAGCTCAAGTTTCTCCTTCTTTGGGGTTCTTCTATTTGTCTGAAAGTTGACTCTTTTCTGCTTTCCAAATATGCAGTCTTCACACATGTCAATTTCAATTGACTGAAACTAAAGACCTGGTAGTTTTCCCTGTGAGTGTAGAATCTTCATCCTTTCATACTTCATATGCAAGCCTCTGGCGATGCCATAAATTTGGAGTTTCACTGTTCTGCAACAGCAATGGAATAGCTTGCTCCTCCTGTGCTGTAAAGCAGTTACGCCACTCTACTTCCACGCAGCAACCATCATTGCCCCTTTGTAATCTTCCACTTATCACCGTGGGAAGGTTGTTGTGTACCTTCGCAATGAGGCAACTGGCCCTACTCAAGATTAAAGTTCTTTCTCAGGTCAGGAATTATTATCTGACAATCTTCCAAACTCCCATGTAGGGACCCGTTCAACCTATCTTCACAACTCCTTACCAATAATATTACATGGTTGGTCATACCAAGGTATTAACTTTTCCAAAGGTTTCCGGGGTATACCTTCAAGGAGTTCTTTTTGTTTGAAGTTCCATGATACGCACGAAGTCTAAACCCAAGACTCTTTGCTTGCTCTCCAAAGAGCATATAAGTGCATCATCGTTCTCCTGAGGGAGGCAACATTTGCTTCTAACTTCCCCTTCCTTGTTCTTAGATGCATTCTTGCACTGATTATTGTAGTGCCCAGTTTCCACAATTCTAAACATTCGAATGGACTTCGTGTATTGAAATTGCTGGGATTCCTGGATTTGCGACCTCCTGTACCTTTGATTTTGCCTCGGTAGTTTGATCTACCGCGTCCATTCCTCTAGTTGAATTTTCTTTCCTTCTTGATTCTGTATGCAAGACTGAAGAAGTGTAAGGTTCATTCTGTATGCAAGACTGAAGAAGTTGAAGGTTCATTTGACTCTCTCCGTCGGATCTCTTCACTGAGAAATAGGTCACGAACATCATCAAATTTTAACTTCTTGCTTCCGGACGAGCTACTCACAGCTGTAACAGTAGCATTCCAACTTTCTGGTAGGGAAGACAAAACTATCAATGCTCGTACCTCTTCATCAAATTCAATTTCAACTGAACTCAATTGGGTTGTCACTGTATTGAGTTCATTGAGATGTTGGGCCACCGATGCATTTTCCGTCATTCGCAGATTGAATAACCGCCTCATCAAGTGAACTTTATTTGCGGCCGATGGCTTTTCATACATATTGGAAAGAGCCGCCATAAGACCCGCCGTGGTCTTTTCTTTTGCTATGTTGAAGGCAACATTGCAGGAGAGGGTTAAACGAATAACCCCGAGTGCTTGTCTGTCTAGAAGATTCCAATCTTCTTCCTTCATAGCCTCCGGCTTTATTCCGGAGAGAGGTTGGAAAAGACCTTTCTGATACAGATAATCCTCTATCTGCATTTTCCAAAAGCCAAAATCTGCACCAACGAATTTTTCAATTTTCCACTTTCCTTCATCTGCAGCCATTGCTCCCATTCGAGTCTAACTCCGCCTTGATTGTTAGTATACGTGAATAGTAACCGTACACGCGAATAGTAACCGTACACGTGAATAGTACTATACATAATAGTAACAGTACACGTAAATAGTACTATACGTGAATAGTATTGGGCTTAACAATGACGGGCTCAGCAACAGTAATGCCAATAGTACTGTTCACTACCAACTTTGAGATACTGTTTTACTATTCACCACTAAGTCGATTCTGCAACGACTTTCCGAGCGGACAACACCGATAGACTCGTCATAATTTTCTCGTCATCGTGGTATATTTATTTTGGAAATATATCCACGAATCTCGTACCGCTATCTGATCGGCTGGACCTGCCGAAACCTTCGACTCTGATACCAGTTGTTAGGAAACTACGCAAAATTTCCTATAAAACCAGATTAGTGAGAATGCCAAATAAAAGCGGAATAATAACACACACAAATTTGATAACGTTTGATAACGGAGTTCGGCAATTCTGCCTACGTCTCCGAGCTGCTGCAGATCTTTTTTTACAGATCTTTTTTACTAAAAGGAGAAAAAATTATACAAAGTGTTTACAACACTTATAACCCACAACTCATAAATTCACCTAAGAAAATTACTCTCAATTTTCTCTCACCAAAGCTTTTCTCTCTGAACTCTAGCTAATGGATTTCTCTCTGACAAATGAGTTGATGCACAAACACTTATGGAAGTGCTCTATTTATAGATGCAAAATTTGGTGGTTGGCCAACCATTGCCTTAATTTTCGTTGGTTGTTGGCCAACCATGCATACAGGTCTGACTAACAATTTCTTTGGTTGGTGGCCAACTATGCATGCCAAATTTTGACTAACAATCTCCCACTTGAAGACTGATTTCAATCTGTCTTCACAATTTGATCAATACAGCAGCTTTTCGTTTTGTTACTTTAGCAGGCCAACTGAAGCAGACCCCACCTCAGCCTGTAATAAATCAGAATTGGCATAATATCGAGCTTCATATAATCTGCTAACCAACGCAGTGGGTCTCATCAATAAATGCCACCCTGTTTTAGTAAGCAAAGCAATATTAAAATGTCTTAGAGAATAGAATCCAATCCCCCCCCCCCCATGTTCCTTACATCTGCATAAATTTCTCTAAGAAAGCTAGTGTATTCCTGTACCATCATGCCCACCATGTCGCCACCAAAATCTAGTCATTGTTTTTTCCACTTTATCACAAATAGAGCAAAGCAAATAACATTATTAAATAATTGGGAAGTGCTTGGACTATTGTCTTAAGAATTATTTCTTTCCTGGCATGAGATAAAAGAACTCGTTTCCTACTCGTTTCCACACTTTATCCTCTAAAAAGCCAATTTTACTTCGTCCCACTACTATTGGCAATCCCAAATACTTGCTCGGACTATCAACCGCCTGCACTCCTAACAGCTCATCAATTACGTGTTCATCACGGGAAGAGGAATTACGACTAAAATAAATCTCTAATTTCTGAAAATTCACCTTCTGACCTGATGCTTACTGATACAACCGAAGACAATGTTTCATAAAAAAATCCTCTACCGCTTCAGCCTTGAAAAAATAGAAGGCATCATCTGCAAAAAAACAAATGTGAAACCGAAGGTGCCAATTGATTCACTTGACCACATCTTTCAAAGGAATGGAGCAAAGACAACAAACTCTCTGCCACAATTAAAAACAAGTATGGTGACAAAGGACCGCCTTGACGTAGTCCCCAACTTAAAATGATCGGGCCATACTATTGGCCCCCATGTGAAATATGATAGACCACAGACATTACCATCTTCATTAATTTTACCACCCAACATAAATAAAAACCCGATTTCAGCAACATGGCCTCCAAAAACCTCCACTCACCCGGTCATAGACTTTGCTCATATCGGTTTTCAAAGCCACATGATTATCATTACCCTATGTTTTCCATTTTAAATAATGATTTAGCTCAAAAGCTATCATGGCATTATCCATAATAAAACAACCTAGTATAAATGCACTTTGAACTTTAGAAATCACAGACCCCATAACATCACTCATTCGGGTAGCCAGCATTTTAGAAGTAATTCAATCAACCACATTACTCAATGAAATAAGCCGGAGATCAGAAACAAACTTAATATCACTTTTTTTTTAGGAAGCAAACTAATATGGGTGTTGTTCATACCGGGAATAGGACCATCATCATTCACACATGCCAGCACAGTATCAGACACATCATCATAGATTATCGGCCAAAAATAGTGGAAAAAACCAGGGTTCAACCCATCCAGCCCTGGCGCCTTATTTGAATACATGCTAAAAACCGCCTATTTGACATCCTCTACCATAAAAGGCCATAACAACCCAGTATTTTCATGGTGCGAAACTCTTGCTTCTACCAATTCCAAATTTTCCATCCCATAAATCACAATTTAAATTTAAATATTTCTTCTCTTCCCATATCACAACATGCTACTCCTACTTCTCATATTTCACAGCACGTCCCACTAATTATTTCGAATTTATCCCCTCCACAAAATCAACAAATCGTTCCTGCTAATCATCGCTCACCTAATCCTGATTCTCTCAATCTTACGATTGTATCTCAACCACAAAATCTTCAAATCATTCCTTTTTCCACTTCTCAAACCCAGCCTTCTAACTTAATGACACTTCGACCAGCCACCATAAATAAACGCAGGCTAATTTAGGCATGCACAAACTTGAATTTCTTCCAATCAAACCTTCTACATTCAATCAAGCCCAACCTTATACTCAGTAGTCACTACAAAAAAAACGGTTCGGTTGCTAAATTCAATTAGCGATCGATCTGCGACCGAAATCGGTTGCAAAAATGGTCGTCGCAAAATATTTTGCGACCAATTTTTTCGTCGGTCACAAATTAGCGACCGATAACTCAGTCGCAAAATTGAAAAATCGATGGCAAAATTTGGTCGTGTTTTCATTTGGAAACGTTGTCGCAAATTGGTTGCAGAAAAAGTCTGTCGCAATTATAAAATTCGGTTGCAAATTGTAAATTTAAAATTTAAAATTTTTGGTTGCAAATCGGTCGCAAAATTAAAAAAAATAAAAAAATAAATATTATTATAAAACCATAATTTTTTCGCACCTGTGAAAATTTTTTTTCGCCACCTGTGGGAAAATTGATCATATTTAATATATATATATTATATATATATATATATATAATAAACAATATAACACAAAGCAATCAAGAACTAATATAAAAATGTAATTGTTAACAATATAAAAATGTTATTGTTATTGTACTGAACAAAATGTCAAAAAACAACCCAAAATCAAATCTATGCGGTTGCTCATCCGCACGATCCAATGTCGAATCGCCGGGAGGAATACCTGCTGGATGTGCTGTAGTGCCGGGAGGGGTGACCAAGGTATCGTCTGCAGCATCGGGATCAGGAGACGATAGTGGCTGCTGCTAAGATGTCGAAACATTTCGATCTGTAGCAGGCGTAGGATTAGAGGAAGAAGTACCAGCATCGGGCTGACCGGACAACCGCATGACATGCGCTCAAAGTTCTGCAATTTGTCTCTGCTGATCATCAACACGAGCCCGTAATTCAGTAAACTCCTCGGCAGTGTGCTCGGGTTGTGGTCGTGCGCTGGCTGTGGTCCTGCGTTGGCTGCAGAAGCATGAGCTGTTGAGCAGCAGTAAAACTGTGATGCCTGAGACCCGATGTCATATACCTTCCTCTTCTTCTCAACGCCCCCTACAGCCTCGAGATAAAGTGCTACCTCGTCAATTCTTGACTCAGCTTCAGATTCATCAGTCTGAAAAGAAACAAGACGCTCCCAAGCTGTAGTATAGTTCTCCTGAAAACAAAAAATTAATTTATCAATGCAATTGCAAGCTTGATTATATTGAACTTTATACATCTTCGCAACGAGTAGAGGGTAAATGTAAATATTATTCATTGTTACTTACATTGACGCTTACCGCACGTCTGTCGATAAACATATTAAGATCGTAGTCCTTCGTGTGAGTGTAAGTAAACACCTCAATCGGTGTTGGCTCAGGACCTAATTCTTTAGCCTGTAATTAATTTTTATGCATGATATATTAATATATATAGTGTCCTTTCATTAAACATCAGTTTCATATACTGTGACTAGTTTACTGTGACTAGTTCACTTGCTAATAATCGAGCTGTCTCTATAGTAGATATTGACCCGCATGTGTGTCGAGAAGCTCCTGCTCCATCACTGCCAGTCTCCAGTCTCACTGCGCTTGTTTTGTGCAAATATCTCCCTCTTTCTCTTGAATGCAGGATCCGTCCAAGCCTTTTGCTAGCTCTCCCATATCTCTTGAGACACGCACTGCTGCTTCTTACCGCTTCTTCTTATCCTATAGGTGAATTCAGCATATCAGTCAGTGCATAACTTCTCCCAAGCCACTTTCAGCATAACCGTAATTGCCTCATCCCATACGAAATGCTTCTGCAAAATATTAAAAATAAAATTTCAATAAAATGAGGTATCTTGATGAATTGTAAATAGTGAATGATGTTATAACTTAAACCAAAGCGTACCTGAAATTCCACCCAATAAAAGTCTCTCACCTCTTGTGGTACGGCATCCCATGTGTATCCTTCTTTATGGAGTTGTAGCTTGATTATCCGCATAATTTGCCTCGATGCTCGAGACATTTTTATGGCCCACCGGGATTGCCAAGTGGTATAACACGTGGCACTATAAAAAATTAAAAAAACAATGTCTAGGTGGCCAATTATTAATATTTTTCAAAAATACTTTTAAAGTCAATCAAAAATTAAACCATCATTAGAATAACTATTGTTGCTTTTTTTTTTTTTTCCGCTAAACTTGTATACTTAGTAAACATTTGTATATTAGGTATCTTTAATGATTAATTATAGACTTTTATTTTTTGGATTGTTGGTTTTATTTTTTCTCATAAATAATTTTAACTCATTCTTACGAATTCGCGAAAGAAAAATTGAATTTGTTTAGATTTAAAAATGCTTTAATGATTTTATTGGTGAAAATGCA